GTTAACTTTTTGAAAATAAAAATTTTCTACATGATAATTTGTTATTTAGCACGGCTCATCTAAAAAACCAAATTTGAGTCTTGTAGCTTCGTTTGCAGGTTGGTTGCAAATTCTTGTGTATTGCCTCACACTTTAGGGAGTAATGCTTAATATGTATCATCTATAATATTAGAATTTCATATGCAATGCAAAATCTCTTAGGAAGCAAAGGAGTATAAAGAACCCTGTTTTCTGCACTTATATGAAAACATGTAATATTAGTTTGCTAGAATAAAATGAAATACAGACACTGCTTTTAACTGGGATGTATACAGTATATATAACTTCCTTTTGAAGAAAAAGTTATTAATGATTCATGGATTAGACTACAACATGGAATTCTTACACATTACTATATGTTTGATGTAAAGATATTTATAGGCTTGTACTTAATAATCACGTTGCCTCAGTTCTTGGACTGCAGAATGTCTACCATGACTGTTGCCTATAGTTTGCTCCACATTTGCTATCTGGCTCTTTTAAAAATGTGTATTTGGCTATTTGATCTGTAAAATAAATTCTATTAATAATGAAGTACGTATTGTAATTCAGCATATTGTATTGCATAATTATAGCTGTGACTGTTACAGAAGATTTTTCATTTCTGTTAATGAAATCATTTTCTTGGGAAGAAGTTTATGTATCTATAAGACAGTTTTGCTATTCCTATTTATCATACCCTTGCAGCATTTATATTTCAAACTAAAAACCCAACACTTTCAGTGGTTAGACATACAGTAATGATGTTTATTGACACAATGCCATAATTCAGCCAGTTGCTTTGGGTTGAAAGTTCATTCCTAACATAGTAAGAATTTATTCAAGAAGTTTTTAGTGTAACAAAGATTGGTCCAACTCACTGCTGTTAAAGCTTTCTGCTTAAGAGGGCGATGGGAAGCATTCCGAGGTATTGGTTAAGTATAATAACCCTTTAGCCTAGAAGAGTTGGTTGTCAGGAAGACAGTAGGTTTTCGCAGACCTTCAGTTTCTGTTTTTTTTCTTTGGTATTTGAATCTTTGCATTTCTGTTTTTATGATAATTCGGTTTGATTTCCTTGGTGAGAAGACTCATATACATAGAATTACTGTTTGAACAAGAAACACAAGAAAGGCACCAAATAATTTCAATGCTTATATTGCATTTTCCTTTTTTTCCTTTTTTTTTTTTTTTTTCTGGATCCAGGGGTACTGAGTTGAGGTACTGAACTAGGTTAATCTAAACTTAAGCATATAATTTAGTCATCTCCAGTGGACATATATTTGCGCTCAGTTTTTACTCAGCTAGTGAAAAAGCCTAACTATGCTATAGCAGGTTATTCTGATGTTAGGACAGCATGCCCTCTAGAAGTGCCTACAATCTTACACTGAGTATGAAGAGAACCTTTTATAAATACCTTTAAATGTGCCAGTTATGTGCTTGCAGAGAAAAGTTTTTTGTGAGATTCCTGGTTGTTTTGCTTTTAACCTAGCTGAAGGTCTGCATTTTTCCTAATATTTCACTGGTCACGTCATTCTAGTCTTATCAATCAATAATTCTAAAAGAATCTAGGATGGTTGGAAAGCTTAAAAAAAAAGTTACATGCATGAAATAGAAAGTACATCAAGCAGTTTATTGGTCCAAATTGATAATTTCTTTTAGTCCTTTCCTGAGTCAGCAGAGCCAAATATAATAACTCTCCAAATGCACTAAGGGAAAAGCCAGTGACCTCTTAAGTGGTTCGGTTTCATGTTTTTCATCTGAGTTGTTTGGTTTTTTTTTTTCCTTTACATGTAAGTATCACTTTAAAAAAAGTTAATTGTTTCATAGACTGGCAAAAGACTTGCTCAGAGAGCTCATTTCCTTCTCATGGTTAAATGGGTTCATAGAAGTGTCATGAAAGCCTAATGCATAGTGACTAAATATGTTTATGTGCTGAATGTATATTTCTACACTTTTCAATGATGTGGTGGCCAGTCAAAAACATTACGTATTCAGTTTTGGGTTTTTTAAATGAATATCAACATCCTGAGTCAAAGCTAGGTGTGCATGTGTCAAAACCAACTCTGTTTCTCAGATGTTTTCACCTACAGAAATACTGTTCTCTTCATACAAGTCAGAGTAAATTAATAGCAAAAATCACTGAGTTGACAAATGGTGCTTTTGAAATTGACAACTCATGATATTGTCTTTGGAATATCAGTCATACTTTCCTAAGGTATTTTTATTGTACTTTAGACTGCAGTTATTATTACTCACTATCATCTCAGTAAACTTCTGAAGAGATTCTTCCTTGTATCCAGTGCACGTTGCCACCCCTGTGTAGACAGGTCTGTGTCTATCAGTCAAGTCCTAGAGCCTGGTTTTGGTTAGTTACAGTGCTATGTGTGGCTCAGCAAAAAGAACAGTACTTTATTTGTTGCCAGTTTTACAGAGTAAATTAATCACACCGCTGCTTTTAGCCCCGCAGTGACAGCAGCCAAAGACGGCTCTCAGGTTTGCTGTTCTGCATCCTGTGTCACACTGTCAATACTTGGATTTCGTATGGATGTGTGTCTACCAAAGCTCAGTGCCACTTGATCTCAGATACGCCCTGATATCAAGTGAGTCACTTCAAGGAAAAGCTGTGGCACACAATCTGCAGTTTGTATGAAAGCTGCCTATCATATTAGAAAATATATTGGACTTTGGAAGCTTTAAATCCTTCTGAATTGGAGTGAAGGACAGCTGAAGGGCAGTAGGTGCTGTCAGGAACAGAGCTGGTTTGTGATGTAAATAGAATTATTTTTTTAACATAAACTGTAATGCTGCGGGGGTTTTTTGTTACACATTTTCAGTGATTTCCCATTTTACCATAAAACATAGATTTATGGTAATTCCTGGTCTTAAGTATTATTTGTAAAATCTTTTTAACAAATATTTTTAATATATATTTTTCCTTTCATATTGGATTATGGAGCACTGTTCCTTTTATGTCTTATTTCTAAAATAAATTTTGTTTGAAGATTATATTTGTATACCTTCTGGAGAAGCACTGTTTTTAAACACACCTCTGATCTGTTTGCTTAATGTATGCACAATATCAAAGCTATACATATACTGATATGTTTTGCATTGATTAGGAGCTATGATTATTAACATAACTTCACCACACACAACACTGTAGAGCTTACCAATACTCTGTCTATAGAAATATGCTGCTTTTGAAACCTCATGCTCCTTAGCAGTACGTTTCTTTTGTCTAAGTTTTCTTCAAAGAAATCTGGCCTAAGCAGGAAATCCAGAAGTTGCACTTCTAACTATGTTTACATGTGTGTCTGACTGTTTCTACAGTGTTTAGAGCTAGACAGAGAGAGATAGTGCTTTAAAATATGTATATCTTGTGTATGTATGTGTTTTGTGTGCATGTATATATAAAGAAAGAGCATGAGGGTGTATATATGCATTTATCACATATTCAATTCACAAAGTTGATAGGCAATGTATTACATAGAATATAACTTTAGATATGTGCCTATCTTAGTACCTAATATATCTGCTATGAAAGATAGCCAAGCACTAAGGTTTTCACTTGACCACATTAGTTTGAGATTTGGAAAGGTCAGTCGTCCCTTCTGAGAATGTATTAGGTTCTCACTGTACTAGAAAGTCACTCTTGATAACTTGGAGGTTAGGATGCAATACGATAAGTACAGTTTTGAATTGCAGTTCTTTTTCTTTCACTATTTCAGCTTTACTTGTTCCTATATTGTTTCCCACTAGTCTAAAATACTATTTTTTCTATTACATGGACTTGTTCTCTTAAATCTTGCCACTGAAAATGTCATGAAAACGACATTTTTATATTTTCTCCAAATTGTGAGCTTCTGTTTATTTCATAATTACATATGTAAATAAAGTTCAGTTATTTATATTCATACAGATGGATATTAAGTAACTATGTTGTCAGGTATACTACTGACTTTCTGTGATCTTTTAAATAGGTTTTATTCTTTTGTATTCTATATGTTTTTTGTTTCCATAGAAAGTGTTCATTAAAGCCAAATAACTTCCAGTAAAAACTGAACAATGCTATGAAAGATAGGAGGTTTGATTTCCCATCACTGAATGGCAACCAAGAATTATGTGCAGAATTTCAGTCTGTTCTCTCAGTACAGTTTTCATCCTTTTTCTGCCAAGAGAAGATGTCCATGACTGTCAGGTGGATGAACTGTCCTCTGCTTATGCTCTTTGTTTCCTTCTGGGCTGTGATGTTGTTTGACTTTGTTCTTTATATGATCACCAGAGTATGACATGAAATTTGAATCTAAGACCTTTCCTCAAAAGAATTTCCTCCTTTTTATTGTCTAGGCTGTTCAAAAACTTCCCTTTTATCTGTGTGCATCGGTAGCAAACAAGTTGCAGGAATACAGACACATTGGCACAAATACGGATCTGAAAGACTTTAGTCATAAGCTTTCCCCCATAAAAATACTTTTCCTACATTTGTATCAAACCATTGATGGGTGGATTCTTTTTTTCTCTCTTCCTCTTCTATTAAAAAGCAGCAACTGGGGACAAATTCTGGTCTTACCCAGACACTAGTGCATGTGTGTTTCAGATAAAGAATTGATGAAAAAATAAA